ATATTACTATAAGTATTTCGATTAATCATCTTTCAACATTTCACCCTTAAAACAGGGAACAGTAACTTTATTTAATTTCACTTCGTAAAACTGATTTACTCGTAATCGTGTATTGAAAGAGATCTAAGGATCCTCCTTATTCTTAAACGGTAATAGATATTAGTTTAATGGGTTCAATACGAATCCAGGCGAACTTGATAACTTATTATTTTCAAAAAAGAAAATAAGCTTACTTGGGGTTTTGTTATGAAAGTGTCATCCGAAATAACCCCCCACAGAGACCATTGAATGTCTAAAAGGTCATAGAAATATATGACACAGGCCTATACAAAACAAAAAGTTTTGTTGTTATACTGTGAGAAATAAAGTGTGGCAGCTAGAGTTTATGCTGCCATACACAATGGACGGATAATACTCCCTATCGTTCTTACATCAATAAGCAATCTCTTCTCGTTTTACCAGCTACAAAAGCTTTTCTGAAAAGAGATCCTAACAATCTTTTGTCCATGATTATAGTTCGTCACTTCGAGGGGGTAAATATCGGCCATTAGATCCACCTGTTCGAAGGGATTCCACTGAAGGGGAATATAAACATACAAAACGTCGGTACAATGTCAATGCCAACCACTTACGTATGATACAAATATATATACAATTATTACTACGAAGTGAACCGGAGCATATTTTAATGATATTATCTCTGGCCAATCTCAGACCTATTCAATGATATCCAAGTTTTTTTTCCATCGTTGCCCGTTTAAAAAATTACTTACACGCTATTTGTTCAATTAATAATGATTGAGAGCAGTAACTTTTCAATTGAATATTTTATTTATATACATGTGTATATGGACCGTTGTTTGTGGTTACCGATATTAAAAAGCTTTATTTTTTCTTCCTCAGTTTGTCCATGTTCTATTACATTGACGACATAGTTGCAACATATTAACGAGTTTGTGTGTCTTCATCCCATTTAATGAATGACTTTATTCACTACACTATCATAATACCGCAAAGCCTCTGATTTTAGTGGGGGTGTTTGTATAAACTCGTATATTTTATTCAGTATGTCCTAATTGGCTAATAACATAACATTTAGTTAATAATAACGTCGTTTTGACTACATCATAATCATGGTCAATTCTAACGCAGCAACAGTGATCACGTATCTGGTAGAGGAACTGATAGGAATTTTAAGTGTTTGAATTTGAAGATTACACTAGATGGGTTGATTTTTTTTTTCTTCAAACAATAATCTGGCAGATGTTCAAAAGAAACAAATTGAACATTTCCTTCATGTTTTCTTTTACTTTCAGATGGCTGCAAGTGAACTTTCCCAAGCGGTGCATTTTTCTTCCAAGCGCATCAAAACGAGAAGAAGATCTCGTCGACTTTCTAAAATGGGTTCCTCATGATTGCATAAAATGAAACTTTGATGAAGTAGGACATAAGGTAAGACTCCAAGATGGAGGTGATGCCAGCGACCCTACTCGCCACCACGCCATTCTCCCAGGCGCCGGCTCGAATTACGCTCTCGGCGATCGAGCGAACAGTCTCCAACATCAGATATAAAAAGCAGTCGCGAGCGTCAACGTCGACGAAAAGTCGCAGCGTCGCCAACCAAAACCACGGGGATGCACCGGAGAGGCAGCCGCGGCAGCAGAAGAATTACCATGGAAACCAAACTCAGTCCGAACAGTATCGGCATCGCCGGCGTGTGTCGTCGCTTGAAAGGCGGGCAGATTTTCGGCCTCTGGGAAGGGTGAGTGAAAAGCAACTCGAGATGTTGATGAAATCAGCGAATGAGGTTATGGAGGAGATGCGGAAGGATGCAGGGATTGTAAGTCCTCCTAAACCGTCCACTGCACCGACGGGTACCCGGGAGGATCTGCAGCTGCCGAAAATTGCCGAGCCGAAGCCGAATGAAACGTCATCGCCGAAATCATCTCGCTCTTCCCCCGCGGACAATCGGAAAGATTCGGGTAACGAAGAGGATTCCGCCAAACAGCGAGGTAGGGCAGATGGGATGCCGCGAGTTGGCGGGAAAGTCTATAGCAGGGTGGATATGGTGAAGAACTTGCAGAAACATCGGAAGTCGTTGTCGGCACCCGATCGTACGAAAACGAACAAAACGACAGCGACAAAGAGTGAGCGGAGACAGCGATGTTCGACGTCGAAAGTGGAGTCAGTCTCTTGGGGTGACAGTGAAGGGATGGTGAAGGGGAAAGGAAGTGTCAAAGGGGCAACATCGACGGCGTCGCCGAGCGGCAGTGATGACGATGCAAAGACAAAAAATGTGACAAATCAGGAAAAACTCCCTCCAGCGAAAGAAAAGAAACGAACTAAAGAAAATGAGGTCACGGTACGACCAACAAAGTCGGCGTTTGTTCGACTACCGCGTGTTGAGAATGACCACATTGACGCTGAAGTTGATTTAAGTACCGCGACTTTAGAAGACGTCATCCTAGCGAAGCTCGAAGAAGGTGACAACGATGGTGACAACGACAGTAACAGCTGCAACTCAAAGGAAGACCGCGTTCGATGGGAAGGAAACGAAGGCGGTTATAGCTCTGATACGATCGCCTGTACGACGCGGCCTACGAGTTCGGAAGCCGACGAGAGACAGACAATGACGACGTCGACGCGAAGCGAAATCGCCACGCCCGAACTCTCCGAAGGAGCTTTAAGCAACGACGAAGGCGACAGGTGCGTCAGCTCTGCCAAAAGCAGACGTAAGACGATGAAACATAGTAGCGCCATGCTGAAAGACATGAACGGGAATCTTTCCAATAAGGACAACACCTACGGTGACGATATTGCCGAGGCCATCATGAAAAAGTTACAACCTGCCCATCCCCACGTCATCTGGCCTGATAACCGCTTTATGACGTCGAACACGGTCTTCGTGTACGGCAGCCCATCTCAACTCGCACCCGTGATCGTGCCGTCTCATAGCCTCGATTGTCCGCTCTGTAATTTCTACAAGAGGTCGTCTAGCGGCGGCGTCTGCCCTCCAAACAGCCCGACGCCATTGTTGAAGAAAGATTACGGGTTCTATCCCGTGGAACGATTCTATTCAGATTTATAGTTGGAGTAGGATTTTTTTTCTTCTTCATTATTCCTTTGCAAAGAGTTGTCATAACTTTTTTATTTATGATGTCATTTAGTATGGTTGATATTAATATTTACTGTATGGCCTATGATTTAGTTTGATCATCAATAATGATCATAACAGGTTCAGTGACCCAATCAGAATTCTACATCAAGTGTCTATTCTGTTTAGGTGTCTATTTAGTTTAGGCATTAAGATAATGTAATACAATGTACTTTTGATGATAACATGCAGAACTAGCAAGTCTTAAAGTCTTTTTATTTAGATAAAGCAACATATGATATACAGCGAAGATAAAGCAAAATTTAAGCAGACAATATGTGAAAGTGAATGTGATGCACGGGAACGTTCTCGAACCCTAGAATGAAACATCTGCTTTCCTATTTCTGATGTAAAGATCTAATAGATTGATGATCTAGGTTTGATCATGGACCTACTTCATGCACACGTATGTTACGAATGTTACAATGATATACAAAGTGTACCCCATTACTTGGAAATTTTAGATGTCTTTTGAAGAAACACGCACAGCAATGAAGTGTATTGTGTATGCATCATGATTGCAATATATTGTCATCACTATACCAAGAACATCATATTTAAAATCATATGTCATTTCACGACATCAAATCAAAATTCATGTCACATTTGCCATTCCATTCAGTCCGACACTATTTTGTCTTGCTATCATATCATTTTTGTATACAATGATACATCCTTCTAATATTATTATATCAACTATGATGAATAGATTTGAATATTTATATCAATTTTTAGACCAAGTGCAGTATAATAAAGAAACAATTTATCATATACGTTTGAATCATGTATCTTTTGTTTTCCATTTTCTTTATATCAAATATACATGTTTTCAATTAAAAAAACATGAATTACTTTTCTACAAAATAAAGAAAGGTTCACCTATAGATATCCCCCCCGCCCCCGTTGCAGGAAATGTTGGTATCCTTTTCAATCTTCCAAATTATAAGAGAATCTGTATATTGAGGAGAGAACAAATAAGAAGAGAAACAATGGTAGAAAATCGGAATTGAGACAGACAAAGAAACAGAGAGAGAGTGTGTGTGTTTGTTTGTTAAAGAGAGGGGAGGAAACATTAAAAGGTGATAATACTGAGAGACAAAAGTCCTGGTAAATGTACGGGCCCGAGGAATGCAGAACTGTGAACATTTCCTTTTAAAAATGGATGATTTAGAAGGTTTCCAATTCCTGCTAAACATTTCACATTCACTATCATATCCTTTTCCATAGACCTATCATCATGTTTTCATTGCGAAGTATCAAGGAAACATGCATGGCCATGACGTCATTTCAAGCGGCGCTCAAGAGAACACACTATTTATAAACTCCCTTTTCATATACCTTAGTAATACTTAGTATTTTATATAAAGTAGAAAGAAACCCTACACGAACTACACAATGAACTGCGCCAGCTTCGGCATTGTAGTGAACGAAAATCATGCTTACGGACCGGTATTACTTAATACATCGATATTAGAACAAAAATGGAGTTGGAAGGAAAATCACAACAGTTTTGTGGTAGTTAAATACCCCCAAAATCACCTAGCCAATATTCAAGACTTTTGATGCACTTTCAGTATGGGTCCAGACTCCGTACTGTGCAATAATATCGTCAGTTTATTTACGATGGTAGAACGTTAATGAAAAATAAAGATATCTTTTTAAGGAAATGAACTATTTATCCAATTTCTTGATTGTTATGTTACCTCAGCAAATTATGCTTGGGGACGAGCTCCTCCGAAATAATTTCAGCCGTGTGCCAATTAAAACGACAGGGTAAAATTAAAGATGGAAGTTTTATGTCCTGTACGAATAACTGTAATATAATTTATCATGATCAGAGGCTTACTCAACGACTCTCACCGGACCACACCCGACTGGATCGCTGACCCTGGTCTGATACAATTAAAAAAATAATAATAATTAGCCTCACCAAATGAATTGCATTCAAATTCAATTCAATTTCGGTATCATTGCTTTAAAAATTTTTAAAAAAACATGGGAAAAGTCCAGAGGCCAATATTGTCAAATTTACAGTTACCGCCTCACACTAATAATTCTACAAATACTATAGCATTTGTTATGAGCCATCGATCTAGTAAACTATTCTGAGGCGCAGAGGGAGATTATTACCCTGGCTTAAGCAGGGCTGCCATTACGGCGCTCAAGCATTTCAAGGAATTAATTCCCGCCACAAGAAAGACATAAAATATGGTTATAAAATCATTGACGTATAGTAGTTCAATGATAACTAAACAATTTTTTGCTTCTTATTTAGAAGAATATCGAACTGTCCCATAAATGTTTACAACTTGTCCGTTCAGTGAACTTTAGCTTCAGGGGGAATGACCTGACGAAACCATTACAAAGTTTAAGTTGTCTTTTCATATTCATTACCATATTTTGGCGGGCTGATTTGGGAGCCTAGCTACGCACAATCTAATTAACACTTTACAATAACACGCATTGTATTTTCTCCATCAAAAATCATTCATCGATTTATTCCTTGGAACATGAACGGCCCTTACAACTGTCAAACGTGCAATAAAACGAAAAAGAACCAATTTACGCCTGGCCTTGTTGCTTTTGTTCCAGGAACCGGACAATTAGGACCACTCAGATTCGGGGCATTGTTCCTCAAGACCTCGGGTGACCAAACCTGTTGGGGATCTCTTGTCAGTCAGGACCCGAAACAACAAAAGTGTGAAATCTTAAGAGATAATCCAAACTTGACAACCGTTCTGCAATTAAATGAGAAACGTGGTGTTCCTTTGTCAGACGTCTGGATTTCGCTGGAAAGAAGATAATGGGATTGGCTGAAGTGTTTTGTTGTTTATAGAATGGGTATAGAGACACTGAAAAGGAGGGTGACAGGTCAGTTTCATATTCAACGTCAACTCCTGTGGATGAAGGCTCTGAAAGTTCATTAGGCTATTTTTTATCAACTTTTTTTTCGAAAATAAGTTTCAGTTCATTTCTTGGCTAACCATTTCAAATGACGGTAAGCTTGGAGTTAGCGGATTCCAAATGATATCGAATTGGACTAAATTTATTCGGAGCATGCCAATAATGCAACTCTTAAGATAAAATTGTTTGTCATTCCTATCTTCGTTTGCCAATAGAAAGGAGACAAAAGTAGTTAATTCTGGACGAATTCTGCGTTAGACGTTCAAGGAATATTATTCAAAACAGCCTACAGAACTAAAGTCGTTATTGAATCATGATTCACGTTGATTATCTGCATGAGAAGTAAAAATTCCAGGCTCTTTTTTTTTCTTCTCCTGAAACTAAATTATCATTTTCTGCTTCATGGACAAATGCGACAGAAAAAACTTGGCAACAATATCTCCATTATCTGATCATTCAGTGATCATCTTTGAGAGCTGGAACATTGCATATCTTAGATTGGGGCAAGTAAGACGCATCGTCGGACATATTCAATCTGCGTCGTCGTCTTGGTAACCCAACATAATTTTGGTTACCCCTTCACTGGAACCAGATACCTTTGTTTCATCCTTATTTTGAAATAACCATGATGAACTTCTGCACAAAGGGTTTTATGTGAACTCTGTTTTTAATCTGGAGATCAGCAAAAAGGGAAACAAGCCTACATTGACAGACGTAAGGTATCCCCTGGCCTTTGCACCCCCCCCCCCCCCAAGATGCCCTGCGTAGATTGGAGCGTCAATGGAACTTCGTCCCCCGGTGGCATCCCTGCCGATGACTCGGATCCTCCCCTCATGCTTCTCACCACCAAGAAACGCCTCACCCGCCCATACAGCAGCAGTCACATCCAAGCGTCGCTACGCCGACTCGGTCGCGACGCGGTCAACCAGCGAAGCCGGACAGCGGTCAGGAGGGCGACCGCGGTGAGCAATGATGGAGGGAGAGATGGGAATATTTGTACGGGTAATTTCAGAGCCGCGAGTGCTGGTTTGCTCCGTGTTTCGCCCATGAACACACGTGGGAGGAGTGCCGAATGTAAGAGCGCCAATGGTGAGTAATTTTCATCATTCTTCTTTAAAAATGAATTGAAATGGTCGATTCTTTTTCACTGTTTCCAATTTTTTTTTATTAGATTATCTCATTCTATGCTCAAGGTGTGAGTAATAGTAAGGGGAGGGATGGCTGGAGTTTGCAGTACTGGGAATTCTGAAATTCTGTACTAGTAATATTAGGGCAACCGGCACCTAATATTCAGGCAGACACCTGGGTGGTTTCTTCATAAATTTTATAACTGCATTATCTGAACGACGAATTAGCAATTCATTACTGAAGTGGAAACAAAAAATAAGTGTAGAAAATGGGAGTGTCATCGAGAAAGAGGCGTCAACCCCTTTCAAATTGGTGCCTATACGCCTTTGCTGAGGTATCGATTGAGGAGTATCCAAGATTATCCGTAGTCGGCATTTACCTCTTTCTCTATTTGCCCAGAAAAAGACAAATAAAAATAAATATGGCATGCCCTACATTGTACGAAAGTTATATGACTAACTCACACTTTATCAGGGGATTTAAAACATTATCATCTATACTCCGTCCAATAATGACTTTGTAGGAATTAATTTATTTTATTTTGTTAAAACTTACCAAGAATAATGATTAGTTTTGTTTACCGATTTACAGTGGCCTGTTTAGAAATTGAGTAAATGAAAAATGTAGGCTTCATAGTCTGCAAATGTGGAGTATGTCCCAACAAATTATTACTTGTTTTGTGTGTTGCAAAATGTGAGGTACTAATTATTTAAACGTGGCGGGGAGTAATTGCATTACGCCGGTCTATCCAGCGAGAAACCAATGCAACCATCTTTAATTGATTACTAAATTTCCATTTAACTTTTTAGATTTGTATGAAATATTTGTATAGCTCTCCCATTCACCGTTTTACTTACCCTTTTCCCTCTTCCTCCTCTTAGACTCGGCAATGAGTATAACAAAATTCATGTTTCATTTTGTCAATCTATCCCTTTATCCCTAAATCTATCCACATGACTATTATATACAGTATCCTCATATTTTCCATTTCAGATATTGATGACGAACTGGAGATCGACTACCGCAAGATAGAAAACGAAGACCTTGATCGCATGACTGAGTCCGAAGTCTATCAGGGTCAGGGAGTTCGCAAACTCAACACACAAAACTACGAACACGAATGTCTCCGTGGCGGCATATCTCCCTCTATCGTCCAAGCATCGAAGAGGCTACAATCCGGCAAATACGCTGGCGTGACGGTGGTCCGGATTGGTTCAAAGTATCACGACGGGTTGAAGGTCACCGGGGTTCCGATCGAGGCGAAACTGACTGCGAGATCGAAAGACGAGGACACCCTTTCCGAATGCAGTGTTTCATCTGGAGATATCTGCCTGTGCCATAATTGTCGGAATAAGGAAAGTGGGGAAGACCAACCAGCCCAAGAACTTAATGATAAACTTAAAAATGTGAAAGGTGATGAGTCTAGCCTAATGTTGGTTTCTAAGTCGCTCGGTATCACGTCCACGATCAAGAGACCTTGCTCTAATACCCAAGATAATAGAAGAAACTATAATCAAGATCGTCTAAAAGCTCAAGAACGCAAAGATAAGAACGGTAGGATGCCACTATCAAGATGCAGTAGCGCGAAGACCCAAGTCTTCTCGCCTCCTACAGTGAAAATTGACTCCAAAAACTTGCCTGTCATGGCTTGCCGCGCCATCACCGGACCGAGGATGAGATACGAAGTCGCTTCCTCTCTCGGCAGGAGAGATATCGAAGATGATAGAGACTCGGCCAGCTCAGGAAGCGACACCGACCTCAACAAGCAGATCGAAGCCGTTGCGAGAGCCCAGGACACCATCGACCACCACCCGAGCGCTGACGAACGGACGCCGAAACAGTCCGAAGTCCAAATATTTTCATGGCGCCCAGCCTTGAAGGACATCCTCCGAAGTCAATCCGTTTCGCTGCGCCGGCGATCTATAGATTCCATTTATGCAGACTCGATGTCACAAGCGAAATGTTTGAAGCACGGAAGGCAGTGTTCTGAAATTCCTAGAACGGTTCAGGACGATTCGGTTGGCGGGTATCCGTCATCCCAGGTTTGGAGCAGGGGCAGACGACTTAAAATCAGTATCGATATGCGATCGCTTCGTTTACCGCCCATAATGAGCTATAGTACGCGTTCTGTGGAAAATAATCAAGCAGGTTGTGTGGCTTGTATGGCAGGTGTTTCAAATTCATGCTGATAAATGTATTGATTTAAAATGAATAAAATTCCAAAATCTAGGGACGTTGGCTATTTTTAAACTGGAGAACTATAGTACGGACTCTGGGGAAAATAATTCGGCAGGTGTTTCATGCTGAAACATTCATTGATAATATATTATCAAAATGCCAAAACCTAGGGACTTGGTTTATTTTTAAACTGGAGAACTATAAGACGCGTTCTGAGGAAAATAATTCGGCAGGTTGTGTAGCTTATATAGCAGGTGTTTCATGCTGATACATGTATTGATTACTGATATATAACATGCAAAAATCTAGGGACGTTGGCTATTCTCAGAGTGGAAGAGCATCCGAAAATGAACTTTTAGTAAGCGAGGGGTACCTGCAAACATTTGACAGAAAAGCTTTATACATTATTGTAAACAGACATTCTATCCCTCTTACTTAAAGGGGAAGTCCACCCTGATACCAAGTCGGTTTTAATAAACACAGAAAAGTTAGAGAAACAAATTAGTGAATGTTCGAGAAATATCCGATAAAAAAATAGCAAAGTTATGAATTTTTTAAGTTGTCATTAGCGAATCACAAGTTGGCAACCCTATGATGTATTTTGCGAGTTCCTCTCCAATTTTATAACTTTGTACAGAAATTTCATAAAGTCTCTCATTTTCTTAGTTATTGATGACGATAGAGATTTGTTTTATACGGGGTTTGTAAGAAATCGTATTTGCAATAATTATATTTAGGTTGAATGCATGATTTTCTTAAGGGAAACATCGATTGTTAACCTTTTTTTTAGTCCAGGGCAAATGGGAGGGGACCTCGCAAGATGCGTCACAGACTTGCCAATTTGTTTTTCATAACTTTCCTATTTTTAAACAGTTTTTGCTCAAACTTTCACTTTAATGGCCTTTTCTCTCATTTTCTGCTTCTATATATTATCCCCATTAATGTGTTATTACGAATTGTCTTCATTCTTCTTTTTCATCAGGATGTATATCCATATAGTGTTGCTTTTCTGTAAAAGACTTTTCTCTTTAATTTTGAAGCACTTAGATGATTGAAACACATCGTATATCACTGAAGTGTACATTTCAATTAGTACAAGGAAAAATATGTATTCATAATATATTCATTACTTGATATCTACATTTTGTAAGGTCAATTGGCGGTAAGGCATCATAATTTTGTTAAATTATCACCCTCTTTCTTGATAGAATTTAATGCACAATTTGAATATACATGATGTATCATTTTTTATCTAGTAGATGTTTGTTTTTCTCCGAAGGTTGGATTTTTAAATATTGTATTTTCATAACAAACTGTAGGACGCTAGGTATTTCATTTGGTGATTATGGTTTTTGTGAAATGAACTTTGCTATTTTGTTGTGTTGTAATCCGTTTCGGCAACCAGAAGACCTGCATTTTATATGAACGACAAAATAAAATACTATGAACATAATTGATCTGTCCTATATATATATATATATATCTTAATTTGACTATTTGTGATGCCATCAACATGATCAATGTATTCCTCCTAAATATCTTAGGTTAGCTATTTTGTAGATGTAAGCCTAATTATCACTAATTTTCGGCAACACAGAAGAAGGAGGAAAAAAATAAATTGAGAGAGAGAGAGGAGAGGAGACAACATCGACACCAGACGGAGTCACAGAGCTGATGAGGGAACGAGAGAGGGAGGTATTGTAGGAAACGTGAGGGAGAGAGAGAGAGAGAGAGAGAGAGAGGGGGGATAGAGAGAGAGAGAGAGAGAGAGAGAGAGAGGGAGAGAGATAACATCGACACCATATATATGGAGTCACAATGTTGATGGGGGAAAGAGAGAGGGAGGTATTGTAGGAAACTTTAAAGAGAGAGAGAGAGAGAGAGAGAGAGAGAGAGAGAAAGAGAGAGAAAGAGAGAGAGAGAGAGAGAGAGAGAGAGAAGAGAGAGAGAGAGAGAGAGAGAGAGAGAGAGAGAGAGAGGGGGGGGGGGGGGGGGGAGAAAGTTGGGGCCTGGCGGTGTAAGTGGAGAAAGTGCAGAACAATTTCATCAGGGTGGTTTGGATGATTAGGAAAGAGTTCTATGACATATCCTGTGGCTGCCTTCATAAATCTTTATATGAAGGAGTTTCGTCTAACAATAAAATCCAACTGTTGTTATTCACAAGGCACACCGATGAAAATTAACACTGGAAACAATTTGCTAAAGTCCAACCAACTTCTGTTTTATTCAGCAACTCGTAACTTCACTTTCATATCTTCGGTAAAACCTTCAGATAACAATCTGTAATGATAATAAACAAACAAACAAATAATGAATAAATGTTTCAGCATGTAAGCATGTAAAAACTCTATAGCTAAGTTAAAGATACTGATTACTACACATTAATATATGACACAAGATTAAAGTTAAACTGGATTAAATATCTATGTGAACACACCCTGCATTGAAACTATGCAGTAAACTATTAAACTGTACACACAAGCAAACGTACATGAGTGTGAACGGGGCCGCATTCAGACGCGGTCCGTCGCTTAAGTTCCTATGCTAAATAACTAACAAAGAATATTGTTTCTTTCCTAAACACTTAGTTTTGCTCTAAATCGACATGAACTATATATAATAAATCAGTAATCACCTACATCGTTGCAGAATATTTGCTACTTTGAAACACTAAAATGTACTGTAACTTCTGCTGACAAAGACAAAGAACTCGGCTTTCTACACTATACATTATACACACTCATCTCTTTGTCTACTCCTAAAAGCTAGGTACAACATCTAACATCATCTTTACGAAACTCCTATAAAATTCTACCAAACTCAACTGAGATTATATTAAGATACATCCTAGCATTCTAGTATATATCAAATAACATATATAGAAATAGATATCGTATTCTTACCGAATTGGGCCTGTAGTTTGTTCCACAAAATAACTAAAACTTTCTGCTGCAATGTTATGTAATTCGGACCTTACTGCATCACTTCGACATTCAGAATGACTGGGCTTTGCTTCTCCCAGAACATAGGTGGAGAAGAACAAAGAACTTCCTGTCTCTGTGACTCGTAGTATAATCTTAAAGTAAACAATAACCCCCAAGATATGCTGGTAGGCATATTAAGACACTGGTAGTCTCATAATAAGACTCTTCAAACTATATAAGAAATGCACATTTCTTCACTACATCCTGATGTAGTGACATGGCTCCTTTAAATGTTAGTAACATTTACTAAAATAACTTTTAATATCCAAATCTAAGACTACGCTAAAACATAGATAGACATACTGCACTACTATTACTACCAAGGAACAACATTAACCTCTAACGATCTTTCATGTAACATTCATGAACATTAAGAGAAATCAACTTTACCCATCAATGCTCCAAATACTGCTTGATTGGTAAACAATCACAATTAGTGTAATACACAAAGTTAAACATACATGTATATAAAGTATACTTAATCAACTCCTTCTGTTGATAACCACATGACTACATAATCATATGTAAATGAGTAAAAATATTAAATGAAGACACTCCTGACATCAGAAATATATTTTACAACATACAACAATAAGATAAAGGCTCCTTGAGGGGGAATCCCAACTGTCTTCTGCATGGTAATGACAAAACTTGTTTGCAAATATAGGATAAAACAACAAGAAACGTAAAGGTCATGAAACTAAGATAAAGGTAGAAATCTAGAAAGAGGGAATGAATGAGAAAGTGAGAAAGTGATTGAGAAAGAAAGAGAAATGGAAAGAAAAAGACAGGTCACGATTAGTTTTACATCTCTGTTATTAACAACAGAACTAATTATTCCTAAGACTCTACCGGCAGTAGTAACACGAGTTTGTGGACGGGTCTATCAAGGTAACAAGGTTTCTTCAGACGTTTACCATTACTGTCCAGAGCTCCATCAGCCATGAGGAGCTTTACCTTTCTAACGCGTCCGTCTTGACTAGGAAAAACTTCTGCTACCCTTGCTAGAAGCCACTGGACGTCCGTAGTCTCCTTCACGATGACTACATCGCTGATGGCCAGGTCTCACTGCATTCGCGTCCACTTCTGACATGGCTGTAACTGCTGGAGATACTCTCGGTGCATAATTCTGGATGACGTCATCCATGAATGCTCTGTAGTCTCCACCAAACTTTGGGTTCTTCCGCAACCTCCCAGGCAGCTGCTTCCATCTCTTCAAGGGAAGTGGCTTGTTGAAGGAAAGGTTTGGCTTTGCAGACTTCGGAGGTAATGGCATCTCATAGTGGCCCTTGTCACATCTGTGGGTACCACTCTCCAAGATCTCCTTGAATACCATCTCCTCCACGGAGTACAGCTCACCATCTGCACTTGAGTCCTTAAAGCCATCTTTCGGAAACTGGATGCTTTTCTCAGTGTCCATGATCTCCTTGGCCTTACTCTCATAGGCAAACTCTGGCTGCATCTCAATTGCAGATATCCTATTGCAGATCTGAACACCATCCTCCTGCACCGACGTCTGGCAGACATTGCCAACTACTCCCCATCCAAGTGCTGTCTTAATGACATACGGGTCATCTTCTCCTCCTGCTATCACCTCTCGAGGGCGGATGGCTCGGGGACAGTTATTTCCATTTAAGAGCGATACCTTGACGCTCCTGTTGTATGGCATCAACTCATGAGCAACTGGCTCAAGATGAGGCCACTCCTTCAAGCCTTCACTCCTTGGGATCTGGGATCTGCTAGCTGGAATAGACTCTCTAGAGAAGCACAGGGGTAGGTCAATCTCGTTCTCCCTATTGAAGTCCAGCACCTGTAAACCGCTCACCTTCATGCTCCTGACATTGGCCGTTGCTTGCATGGTGGTGAGTCCGAGGGTAGTATCAGTTCCCTGTACTCCTAACTGCTCACACAGTTCGTCCGAAACAAAGCCTACATTACTCTGATCATCCTTGCACCTCACCCAGTCTGGCACAATCATACAGTGCTCCTGCTCATCTTTGTCTTGAGGAGCGCAGACATTAGTGTACTTGGATGCGGCTT